TGAATGTTACAAAGAAGTAAGTTCCACTGAACTCATTGAGCCTACCTTACGACTACATTATTAATTGCCTTTCTATGGTTAAGTTCATTATAGCAAAGCAATCAGAATAATCCACATGCATAAACTTCAGTTAGGGCCATGTAAGCTAATCTCCATCACTCAAAAACCAAGGAAAATTTTCAGACCTTTCCTCCTCTCCCCACCCACCTCTTACACTGAAGTCTATTTTCAACCCATTCTCACCTAATAAAAGAGCTAATCAAGTTGTTATGATGTTCATTTTCTCTCTCCATCTAATGGTTTTAAAGCCCAGTCAATAAATAATCTATTGTTCCCCACAAAAACCACACTTCTTTTGCTTTATTGAGGCTTTAAAAAAGCAAAACAAAACAAACACCTCCTAAACCCATTCAGATGGCCAAATTAAATCCAATTAAAGATAAGGCAGGAGGGGTAGGCTGGGAGAGAATAATCTCACCTTTGCAAGTCCCGTTTGAATAACTGAGCTGATGGGAGAATGCAAAGCCAGGCCAGGTGAGGTTAGATGCCTCACAACACCACACAACAAAAGGCAGATCCCTTTTTCCTCTCTCACTCCAGGCTAATCTTTAAATGTAAATTCCCCACCAGCTAAGAGGAGAAGCAAGATAAGAGGTTACATCTTCACTTCTCCAGTCCGTTATCGACTTCAGAATCATTTAGAGAAAATGGGGAGGGGTACGGGGGAAGGAAGGCATGCTCCCCCTCCAAATGCTCAGAGATTACCTTCTGGCTGAGGAGAGCACAGGCAGTAACCGAGGCAGCGGTGCAGCTAGGGCTTTGTATTCATTAAACACACATCGCAGCTTATCTGAAGTAAAAGCCTTGTCAGGATGGCACATTGTGTGTGAGAGAAGCGGGGGGAGGCAATGTGCATCAGGGTGATTACAATATCAGCATGGCCCAGATGGAGGCAGGAAAAATAAACAGAGAGTGTGAGAAGGAGAGAAAGGCACTGGCGTATGACCGAGTGATGGGGGGCGGGGGGCAAACTTCTTCTCCTGGAGGTGGCGTGCCCAACTCTGGCACACATATGTCCACACACCTGCTAAAACACCCATCCTCTTGAAAACAGAACTTTCATGTAGGTCCTAATTCTCTTTCTTAAGGTAACATCCACCCTTTCTCCTGTGTTCTTACTTGATACAATCTATCTCTATACAAAACGATATACCTGAAGACTAATTCTGTACTGAACTTGATTAGTTCCAGGGCTTACGGTCAATTGTTAATACCAGGTCTCAGTTCTGGAACATGTAAAGTAAGAACAGAGAGTTCCAGACCAGATACAAAAGTGATTGACTGACTGATTTACAACAAAGACCTGAAAGTCATGTGCATGATGTTTTCAATTCACATAGCCCCTTCTACTGTATCCTCCCGGCAACCCTATTTGTGGTTGGAGAAAGTGATCAACCCACACTCATCCTGGGAGCTTTATGGCTGAATTGGGATTTAAACTTGGATCTCTCCAGTCCTGACAACACATCTAAGCATCATATCACACTGTTTTTCTATGTCCCCTACTGCTAAATAATTTCTGAACTTCCTGTTCCTTAAAAAAAATTACAATGTTCCTTGTTACATAGAGAGGACTGGCAACAGGGAACAAATTAAGTCCTTTATTGGGAAATTTCATGCAGAAGAAAAATCAATCTTTGCAGGAATTTTGTTTTTAATTTGCTGCCTACTGTGGAGCAAACTAAGACCAGCCCAAAGGGCCAAAGTAATCAACTACATAAAGGTATCATCAGCTTACTCCTTCGAGCTCCATAGCACACACAAAGGCACTACTTGATGCCTTCTCAAAACTGATAAGAGAAAACTTAGATATTCTGATATATAGTCAGTTGTGTAAGCACTAATATAACCCACCTTAGATGGCAAAATGATCCACTTGTGGATCCTGAACCACCAGTTGAATACAGATGAACCATGCAATCTAAGCAGCATCAATTAGTGGGTGTCAACATGTCAATACATGAGGTACACAGACAATGTATATTATCTTTGCCCCACCTCCTACTGAAAGAAGTTCCCCTACCATATCTCTTTGTTTATGTTGAAACTGATGAAAGAGTGATTCTCAGTATGGGCCCAATTTCATAAATGTAAAGTAATGTCTAATAATCTTTGAATATCTGAGATTTAGTCTTTCTTCAAAATAATAGTGTTTGAACATTTGAGATTTCCCTGTTTAAGAAACTCATGAGCTTATGAAATACTTTTACAGAAAGACAAGTATTGTTTCTAATCTGCTACATTCCCAAAACCTTAAGCCAATAGCATGCAGGTTATTATTCTTTCTTCATATAAGATGAGTGTTTTTATGATAAACGGGTGACTTGAAGATCTATACTCCACATGTTCCATTAAAAAATGCAGTTATCTGGCTGAGTCCATGCAGAATAAGGAAGAGAATGCATCGGAGTAGGCTAAAAAAAACTCAACCCATTAAGGAAGATTCCTGAAGAATGTGTTAACTAATGATTTTAGCCATGATGATGGGACATCATATTCAGAAGCAACATACCTCTAGAGATCAGATGCCAGGTATAAAGACAAACTGACCCCCTAGTTACCAAGACTATAAACTTCCCACAGGCATTTGCTGGCCATAACTAGATACAAGGATGCAAGATTAGATGGATATTTGTCCTGATCTACACACTCCCCATGACAAACAGAAACAGCACAGTGTGAAAGTTTACATGTTAAATGAACTATTACTGCCATAACATGATAATGTTAATTTACTTTAGAAGAGTGCCTTCCTTTTGGGAAAACTGCAGATCAGCAAGACAAAAGAAGAGAAATACTAACATACTACAGCATACCAGCCAAGTATCTTGGTCAAAAGGGACCTTATCCCACCAAGAATACATTAAAGAGGACATGACGCTTGGACAAATGTCCAAAAGCAGAACCTAATACCAAAAGAAGGGATGCATATATGTGTGGAAATTGTGCCATTTCATGTAATGAAATGCCACATAAAGAAGACTCTGTCACAAATCCTCCACTAATCCAATAATGTGAAAATTTCATGGTGTCACTGGGACATAGCATAAGGCATTCTTTTCCCATTCATCATTGCTCTGAACATGTATCAAGGCTTATGCCCACAATATTTCTGCTATATAAGCTTTCCTAGATCACAACATTATACCCTGATCTTCAGCATAGTTATTCAGAAGTGAATCTCAAATAACTGCAGCAGAATTTACTTCCTTCTGTTAAGAATGGGAAGAAGCATACCTGCACAATCACTCTCAGAAAGGGAGTTCAGAGGTATACTAAAGAAAAGAAAGCATGATCTGTGTTTAAACTGACATCCGATTCTTTACACAGACAGACTTTTATTCTCAAAACAAAAACACTTGCCCACATCTCCTTACTGCCTTCTGTAAAGGCCATGAATTAGGCAACCATATTTGAGAGAATCAGGCATACAATATTATAAAGGGAATTAAATGTCTACTCAATTCCCTTCAAACTGAAGCATGTGATACACTAGCAAACGTGCCACTAGTGATACTTTCTGTAGTCTGTGGATGTCTTAGGGTGCAATCCTGGAGAATACAAAACACCCTACATGCTCCAAGTAAATGATCAGAACCTACAATAAATTGTATCCCATGCACTCTATTGTAAGAAATAAGCATGTACCACAGGAGTACAGCTGTGTGGTCATTATATGGGGCAATGTTCTCAGGATTGGTCCCTGGGTATATAGCACATCTTCCCATGATGGGCTTCTAAAAACCATCAGCTGAAAGTGTCCTTTACTTGTTAACAAAATGCTTGCTGCAAACATATATTTCCTATCAGATCTCACAGGAAACTGGTATCTTTGCAGAATAAACCATTTGCCCTGAAAATGTGTATTCTTCCCCTCCCCCAGCATATCACTTCAAAAAGAGAGAGAGAGAGAGAGAGAGAGAGAGAGAGCGCGAGAGAGAGAGAGCGAGCGAGAGCGAGCGAGCGCAATATATGGTCAGAGTAAAAATGTGTAACAGATGAACCATTCATAATCACAGCTGTCTGAAAGTCCAAGCTTGAGGCTACAAATCTTAATTTCCACTGATTCTCTCTTAATAACGGGTTACCTCCTTATAAAGCAAGAAGGTCCATCTGCCTCAGGCAGAGATGTTTTTTAGCTGTTTTAATGCTTCAAAACCTAGCATTTCCTTTCTTGCATTGAATATGTGAATTCTAGTGTGTTATAATGTGAGAATACCGACATATGACCATTATGCCATAATACCTCATTGTTCAGCTCGTCATTACTTCACTTGTAATTCTTATGTTAATTATGTTCATAATTACTATAAACAGATGTGGTAGAAATTCATGTGACCTTTTTATTGCGGATTACTTTTTTTACTCCTTTAAGGTTAGTGCATGTATACACCAAAGCTATGAAGACAGGATGTGTACAGAAACATATATTTGAAATAAAATAATGACTATTTCTCCTCCACTCTAGTGAAGTCCTCCTGTACTGAACCAAAGGCTATTTCTAATTCAAATTAGCGATATTCTCGAAAAGACAGCGACTGCACACCATTCACCCCTGAACTGAGACCATGCTTACTGTGCAAGTCCAGCATCCCGTTTTCATCTGCTGCTTTCTCATCCACTCTGTCTGACAACTGCAATGCAAGTGCATGTCGGCCATGCAGCAGCTTGTTTTCCTTTCAAAATTAGTATTGCCCTCAGTACACAAAACTCATTTACAATAAAATCACTATGGAGTTCATTACCAGGAAGACTACTCAAATTTCATTTCTCTGCCCCCCTAATCTATAATTAGTGTGGACAGACAGGTGACCCTTCCCTTGTACAGATGGTTCCTAAAAATGGCATAAAAGTAGCTCCTTCTGTTTAAACAACACACAGATAACCTGCTCTGTTCTTATCACTCACAATTACCTCCATTATAGTGAACCAATGCTTACTTTAATAAAACGTCCACTGCTCTTCAAACATCATTTGAGAACTTTCTTATCAGTGCTAGGAAAAAAAATGAAGATAGAAAGCAATGTGTAATAATACCCTGTAAATCAAAATAATTCTTTTTTGCAATATTCCTTTTCATTTAAAAAAAATAATTTCTAATCCATTAACCATTTAATTTCCAAATGCTTTCCATATTAATCTTTCTTATTATTCTATCATAAACTTAAACAAAAGCACATATGGATTAAGCTATAATCAATGTCATGTCCAAATGCAATGTTTAATACACACAATGCATTAGTTCACGTAAAAAAGTCCTTTTGCTATGTTTTGTACCCTTTATCTCCTGAAATGTGAAGTACTGTGGAGCATGTTAAAAGAAATGTGTAATTTTTCCTTAAAAAAAGAAATCACACTTCTTTTATAAGAGATGGATTATTTACTCTTTAATACTGATACCCATTTTTACCTAAAATTCTCTGCTTCCCAATTCAAGTCTCATTGAAAAGAGCAGCTATAAAAATGCATCCAGATCTAGCCAATCCAATCCAAAGGAAAGTAAACTTCAGTGCACACCAAGTCTCTATTTTATCTCTGCTGTTAAGAGCCAACTTAAGTTCTCATAGAACAAAGGGAATAGTGGTAATGGAAATATTTATCCTCAAAAAAAAAAAAAGAAAAGCGCTCTATATTGCCACACCCTGCTCATTTACCTAAACACTATATCATCAATGGGCTGTGTCCCAAAAAGCTGAATGATGAAAACGTCAGGCATATGTTAAAAGCCCTTCCCTCTCCATCAAAAATACCACACAGACACCAATTTTCTTCAGAGAAAAAGCGCCACAGAACCTCTGCAAAGAAGGCTTTGCATTCAGTGTCTGTCAGCTGAATTCCGCTTCAGAAAAGGAAGAAATAGAAGTTGGCAGAAAAGTATGCCTTGAGCTTGTTGGCCACTGACCAAACTTCAGGTAGAGCTGTTGCCTTCCTCCCACCTTTTCTAGACAAATACTACTTTCAAGGAAGGGCATGATGTGGGCAGAAGGATCCATGATGTCAAGTTCTGAGATTCAGGGCAGATGCCTTAGCAAGACAGACTAAAGCATATTCAAGGGGTGCTTGCCTACAATGTCACCATTACTGGGTTCACAAGGGAAGGGAGTACAAATAAAATGTGTTCCTTTAAAAATCCTGAAAAGATGAATGCCCTTTAAAAAGAAGTTGAGCAGCAGCAGTTGCTAGAATCCAGAAAGCTCATAGCACTGTCTGCATTCCACTGCAAAGCAGAATGATACTTGTCTGTCAGCTCATTTGGGGGGTTTTGAAGACCAAAGTGTCATTTCTCATTACTCCATGAAGAAAGCCTAGATTGTGCATTGAGTGATCGGGATAGGACTTCTATATGAACATGTTTTTGCTTTGTTTTTTATATTGTATTATACACACACACACACACACACACATATATATATGAGGGTGGGGAGAGGGGAAGGGCGATGCTGAAACAGCCAACGTGATTCATCATGTGCTACAGTAGTAAAAATACACAGTGAAATCTGAGATCCTGATCAGAAAAGTTTCACAGTGATAATTATAAGAGATGGTGTGGCAGCACAAAGACTTATTAAGTAATTTCTGAGCTTGCAAGAAAAACTGTGCATCTCTTGTCACTAGTGCACCCACTGGATATCTGCCATATACATTTCAAAAGAAATACTTTCCAGCTTTTGAGAAGTTGGCACTCCAGGAATCAGTTCTGAATGCCAGAAATGGCATTTAACTTCCTAAAAATTTTCCATAGCCATAGTGTTGGTTGGATTTCCTTAGGAATAATCCTGGAATCATTTGGAAGAGGCTCTCCCATGGAAAGGTCATGTCATCAACCAAGGCACAATTGTGAAGGGCCAACGTCACCAGAAAATTGACCATACTATATCCAAAAACTGCTAATACTATTTCCTTAGCCAGAAGCAAAAATAACTCTCTCTGTACACTGTTAAATCTAATTTGGATAATATGCCAGTTTAAGTTACCCACTTAAATCCTGAGGAACAAATGAAGAATAGCACAGTATCAACACAAGTATGCAAGAGATGAGATTTATACATTGTTTCAATTTTTGTTTGCTAATAGTATTTGTGTCTCATGGTCTGGTTTTTTTTAAAGTATCATTATTGAAATAGATAATCAAAACAGATTAAAGTTCATCTGCAACTGAAGGGAAAATCTGATTTGGTCAGCAACTCAGACCACCATCAGGGGATAAATCAATTTTCAGCAGCTGTAGACAGCCATTTAAGTCTGGGGCCTGAACAGATTAATTAGGGGAAGCAATGTTAAAAGTTAAAGGGGTCAGAGTTACATTAAGTACATAGATTTTTGCTGAAGCAAAAACCTAGCAGTGCATTCCAAGACTCAGAAGTCATCCATCAAGTAGGTAGGCCATATTATAATATTTGTTAGAAATATTTCCTGGCATGAAAATTATGGTATGATTGTACGGCGTATAAAGCTGCAAACCTTTTCACATTTACCTAGGAATACGTTCTGCTGACAAATTTGGACTTTCTTCCAAATAAGCATGAATGCATAACACTAAAGCCTTGCCATTTCTGAATTTAGTGACAGTTATTATTCTTTTTATAGCACAAGTCATGGTTGTCTTATTATTTAAAGCATATGATGTATGTATATTGTCTCTCCAAACCTTAATAAGTCCATATGGCCATATTCACTCTACTTCCATTTCCAAAGAATACAATGGGAACTTTGACATGTATGGTACTCTAGCATCCAACGGAGAAGATTCCCTGACCAGCAGGTCACAGCACTGAAGTGACATTAAAGTCAGTAAGACTTTATCAACTTCAGTGGTTAGTAAAATTATCAGATTATCCTTTGTGACCGATGTACTGTGCGGGTTTCAAGAAGGGCATTCATAACAGTCACTTAGCCCAGGTGGCAATCCTGCCTGAACTTACCTGGGAGAAAGTTCCACTGAACTCATTGAGTCTTACTTCTAAGTAAACATACCTAGACACATGTTGCAAGTTTACAAATCTCCATCTCATTCCAAGCCAAATTCTCACTGGAGAATGCAACTGACCAAATTCTTCCGTGGCAATTTAGAGTTTGAATTTCCTGTGATAAATATTAATGTGCAAATCAGTGAGCTCCTTATCTCACTGAATATTATCTGCACTGTGTGTGCTATGTGCAATTAGTATATACACTATGTTAATCAGTACAGCTTTGGCTTGTAAGGCTTAGAAAAGCGACGCCAACAAATCTCTATCATTTTGGACTACACAAAATTATACTGCATCTCAGGGGCATGCTTCTTACTTGAAATACATCTCCGTACGAAAACCTAAAGTGATGTTAATCGTGTAATGCCTACAGTGTTGTCAGCGTGGAAAGTGCTTGACAGTTTCTATTTGGCGCCGTCTCTCTTGAAAACCGCAATTTCAATATGGGGTTTTATATATATTTCAAACACTCTTGATCACATGAGCTCTTGAGCGACAGGAATCCAACGCAGAAACTAGATCTGTTTGCTGACTTAGAAGTTTTACCCTAAAGCTTGTCCCAGAGACGTGGCTGTGTTTACTCGGGGGGAACGAAATCACTTTGCACGTGCTCAGAGATTCTGTGGTACACACTTTCCGGGGAAGGGGGGTGGCGGACAATTCCCAGCATTACGAATGAATTCCAGCTCTGAGCTCTAGTCCTGAGCCGCCAGCTTAAAGTCAAGACACGGCGCCCCAGAAAGCAGTCTTCGAATTCGAATCAAGGCTGCGGGCGGAGCTTGCTTTTCCGTAAAACTTTCTAGCTATTTTTGCTCCGGCACTTTTGGAAAGGGATAGCGGGGCGAAATCGAAAGGTGAGCCTCCTCCTTCCCACCAGCCCCGCATGCATACAATCCAACCCCTTGCCCGTCCCCTGCCGCAGGAAGAGTTCCAATCTGTGCTGGTGAGTTGCAGCCACAGGAGCCCGCATAGTAATAAAACAACAGGGGTGGGACGGGGAGAAAGGGGTGCGAGAGATCAGGACAGAGAAGGAAATTTGGGGATCGAGTCTCCTCAACTGCCCCCAACAACCCGACCCACCCTGCAGCTCCTCGATCTAACCGCTCTGCTTCCCACTCTTGCAAAGGGGGCGTGCGCGGGTCTGGTGGGAGGGATGGAGAGGGTTACTTACACTGAAAGGGACCGGAGATTCCCACCATTCGCCACAGGCTGAGAGCTGAAAATAAAAAGTTCCCGTCCTCCTTGGCGGAGATCCGACAGCCCAGCCAGGCAGGCAGGCAGGCAAGCAGGCTGACTGGCTTGGAAAGGGGGGGGGGGGGGGGATGTGAGAGGAAGAAGGGAATGCAACGTCGCTTCGCTTCCTTTCTTTTCCTTCCTCCCCACCCCCCACCACTCCGGACGACCCACGTTCACACAAGACGGACACGCGCGCGAGTCCAAGGGCAAAACAAAAACAAAACCAAAGCGAAACTCCAGCTGTCCCGGGGCTGGCGCGCGCGCGAGTGTTTGGTTTTGTTTGGCTTAAAAATGGGGGAAAAGAACGAAGGGAAAAGAGGATCCGTGCGACAGGGCTTATATTGGTGGCGCCGATGCGAAAGGAACAAGGACTCGCATAGAACAATCGGGACGATAATCACGTAAAAATAATAGTAGTAGTAGGAAGGAAACAAAAGTCCTCCAAAAGTAGTCCGAGATGAAATATGCCCAGGTCTTGCTCCTCCACTGCGCTTCGCTGAGCGTCCCTGCCTGCGGCGGTAGACAAACGTGAGCTGAAGTCCGAGCGCTCGCGAGCAGGGCTGTCACTGGCGGCGCGCTTGCCTCGTCCCGCTGCTGCCGCTGCCGCTGCCGCTGCTGCCGCCTCTCGCGAAGGCGGCGAGGCGTCGCTCTGCAGGCTCCCCTTGTGCCCGCCTGCCTTGGGCAAGGCGCTCCATGCAACGCGTGTGCAGATCCGCCCGCGCGCAGAAAGGCTGTGCTGCGTGCGTGTTTGTTTGTTTGTGTCTGTCCGTGTGTGCGTGCGCGAGTGAGCGAGCGAGCGAGCGAGGGCGTGCGTGCGTGCGTGCGCCTGTGCTCTCCCCCCTCCGCTAGCAGCCACCTCCAAAGTCAAACAGCATACTGCAAGCAGCTGGCCGGGCTCAGCTACCCAGGTGCAGGGGGGAGGGCTTAAAGCAGTGGGAGGTGATAGAGGTAGGAGACATCTGTGTCATGAGGAACGGGAGGGACGGGGGTCAAGTATATGTTAACAATAGTCAAGCCCAGACCCTCTTGGGCAGTCTGCTTTCTTTTTCTTTCATTTCTCTCCCTCCGTTTTACTAGTGGACATGTAACTTGCTTCCTAATGAAGCTTTTCCCAAGGCTGCCTGCTGCAAGAGTCCAGACTGCCCTGCAGTAACCCAAGACAAACACTTTCCCCAGCCATCTGGAGGGCTGCTGCCTTCCCTGCCTGTATCTCGTCACTGTCTGAAGAGACAGCGCTGCTAGAAATCAAGCCACTCCGAGATCTGTTCTCCCTAATCCCCTTCTGTTAGCTGATTTTCAGCCTGACTATTTACTTTCACATTAAATAATAGCCTTAGAGAAAACAATTATCATTCTCTCTCCCCCCACCCCGTCTCTTTTCCCATACCTCCTCCCACTTTGAGGATTCCCCCCTGCTCTATTTGCTACTTCAGGAATACAGATTTAGTATTCTTGTTATTTAAGAGTTTCTGGATAGACTTTAAACAAATAAAAATATATTGTTAAATGAGATGGCGGGTGGCAGGGCGAGAGGGAGGCTTTCTCAATTTCACACTTGCTAGACAAGGGGATCATTCAGAAATGCATAGACTGTCTCTTAAGTGAGCATGAATTAACTTTAGTTAAAGTATTTCAAACTACAAATAAAGCCTAAGATCCAAAACACTGCTGCTTGCCTTTTCCTTGCAAAAGCTCAGCTCTAATTGATTAACCCTTGTTGCAATTAACCAGTTCATTTGTTGCTTCTTGAAATATGGCTGTTTAATTAGAGTTTAATTGTAATTGCCCCTTTGAAAGGGGTTCATTGCTTATATTCAGTGACCATGGTACTTTGATAAACAAGCTATGTTTA